CATCCACCCTAATGTTTAAATAATAGCTATTGTTGCATCCATGTATAATCTGAAAGAAAATATAAAGTAAATAAGACAATAAAATTGCATACAATGTTTTTATTAGAGGAAGATCATTATTGGGATAGGATTTGTACACCCAGAGGAGTTAGATCTGTATTCAAGTCCTCTGATTCCAACACTGGTGGTTTGCAGCAGAGTTCAATGGAAGAATCAGATGAAAAGCCCCTGGCTAATGTGCTGTGCTGAGAAACTTGTTTTCTAATTCATTTTTATTTAAATAGAGTATGTTCATTGAGCAACAATGATAATCTTAGGATTATAACGTAAAGTGAAAGATTAGCAAATTTCTCAGTGTTTTCAAATTTCTCACATTACTCTTTGATATACAGGGACAATAAATCAGTATTCTGAGGAATTCCCTGAGATTTCAAAATTATATATTTTTAAGCATACTCTAACAATCTTCACATTCTACTATTTAAGCAGCTAAAATTCCTGCTTAAGGAACAAAATGTAGGAAGTTTAGTAATACTTACATGTAACTACAACTTACAATAATTTTCTAGCAATGAAAAACATAATTTGAAATTCAGACCTGAGAAAAACAGTTTTTGATGACAGAGATTGAACCCATTGCTGGTGGATCTGAGTGCTCTACCACAACACAAAGCCAGATTCCCATGAAAATTGTCACTAATCACTGTGTGCTCATAGTGCCTACATGTATTTATTTTTCTGTCTTCTCTCACTTGCAGGTTTTCTCTTCCAGTTAGGGTTCTCATCGTCTGATCTGTGTATTGACTTAGAAACCTGAGAAAGTTTCTCTCCCCTCTCTGCAGACCTGGATTGGATTAAAAAGTTTGTACATTTTGAGATCAACATCTACTTTTTTTCCATATTCATGGTCACTGATCATTCTTTAATCTTCCTGCTTTCACTTTTATTTTATAATAAATATTAGTAGCAAGATGGTTATTTTATGTAAAACTTGAATAAGATGTGGTGCCCAGTTGTTTAGTCCCATATCACACCAATGGTAATTTTACATGTGATTAGCATTTAATACAAACTGAATCAAGCAGATCATCCCCATGACTTGTGGATTCTTTGTCCAATATGCTAAAGGTATAAAAGGTTGAGATCTTCTGAAGAAAGGTGTTCTAACCTAGCATTAGCCTTGCATCAGTCTCTCTCTCTCTCATTCTCTCTCTCTCTCGTCTCTCACACACACTTCATTCTAGCTTTCCCTCTCAGTATTCAGTATGGTAATTCCATATGATAATTCCTTGATCTCTCAAGACAAATATGAAAATATATATGCATATATTATACATGTCTCCTCAGTTCTGTGGACAATTCTTATACAAACCCTAACATAAGCTTTCCTCTTCTATCACCTACCCTCTTCCAATTTACTCCCTATGCATCATCAATGGGCATAAATCTTACAGAAATTATTTTCTTTTTAAAGCTTCCAATGATCTATATGTCTTATCAAATCCTAGAAATTGATGACAATGGTTGTGGTGGTTAACACTGAATGCGAAGTTCAAAGGATTTTGAATCACCTATAATGCAAACCTTTGGACATATCTGGGGAGGAGTTTCCTGGTTAGGTTAATTGAAGTGAAAAAATACAATCTAAATCAGCGGTTGGAGGGGTACCTTGTTCTGGGCTGGGTTCTTGTATTGAATAAAAATGAGAAAGTGGAGGGGGAGCTGGAGTGACACCTCCAAAGTTATGAGTAATTGCTTCTCTTGAAGATGACCTGGATTCAGTTCTCAGTACCCACAGGGCAGCTCATAGCCATGTAGAACTTCAGTTCCAGGGAATCTGATGTCTTCTGCTGCTCGTTGGTGACTCCAGGATAAAGTGTGTGTGTGTGTGTGTGTGTGTGTGTGTGTGTGTGTGTGTGTGTCTGTGTCTGTCTGTCTGTCTGTGTCTGTCTGTGTCTGTGTGTATTCAGGCAGGCACTCATACACACTGTGCCCTGACAGCAAAATCAGTAAGATATCTGGCCAGCAGAGACTTGTTTCCTGATGGTGTTCGGCTATTGAAGTTTTTAGGGTTCTGTTCATCCTCTCAGGCAGTCCCAAGAACTATGGGTGATACCGCATGTATTGGTCCCAAATTAATCCCATTGCTTTAGACACTGGGTGAACAATTTTGTTGACATAGGCCTGGCTGTTGTCTAACCCAGTACTTATCAAGACCTCAAAGGTGTTAGGATTTCTCTAAGACTGTAGACAATTTCTGGGGCTTTTCAGTGTGGGTTGGGAAGTCTTCCACAAAGTCTGAGAAGTTATAAACAATAACTAGTAGGGACGGGTATCCTTTACTGAGCTGGATGTTGGTGAAATCTACTTCTAAATGTTCAAATTTCTGTGGCAACATTGGGGTATGGGGACCCTGTTTGGTGTTGTTCTGTGCACATCACAGTCAGGCTTGCTAGCAGGCTGGTGTCTCCAGCTTCAGGGCCACTGGATATCTCTGTAACAAGTCTCATAATGCTATCTTTCCTAGGTGAGTCACGTCACCTCATGGGCTTGCACCTCAGGCTGGGTATAGCTCCCTCTGCAACTATGACTTTACCAGCTGAGGTAATCACACAGTCCCTCAGGATCTCTGTTTCCCCTTGGTCTATTTCTCCTTTTCTCTCCTCTGTACTGTATCTGGTCCACTTGGGTAGGGCTTGAAGCACAGAATACACCTTCCAAGAGTTCATGGGGGAGGGGGCCTCAAGTCTGTCCTTCCATGGAAGGCTGCTCATTTGCCTGCCTGGCCTGCTAGCTGATTTCCGCAGCTTATTTGGTCCTTTTCTCTTGGGTGAGCTTGGCAATGTACTATGGCTATGGTGGGTGGGGAAAGACTGCTCCTAGGAGTTGGAGGAGTTGGTCACTATTTTATATTTCTTTTCCTCCTGATTTGCACAATTCCCTCTCAGTATATAACTCCATGGATGTGCAGGGTGGCAAAGGCATACCAGGAGTCAGTGTAGATGGTGGTCCATTTACCCCCTGAGAGAGAGCGAGAGCGAGAGTGAGAGCGAGAGCGAGAGAGAGAGAGAGAGAGAGAGTGAGAGAGAGAGAGAGAGAGAATGTAGTTCAGCCTTTTGGGCAGACCAGTGAATGGCTGGGGAGGCAGCCCTCTTCCATGACTTTCTGCAGTACTCCCCATGTACCCTGTGCAGTACTTACTCTGTTGCAGACATCAGCTCTCATCAGTAAAGAGTCCCAATTGTGAGTTAGGAAGCGGTTCATGTTTTAAATCCAGATGGGAGGAGAATACCTCCTCCATAACCTCCTCTAGCTATGACGTGGGTTCTCCCTCCCTTCTAGAAAGTATGTGGCTGGGTTTAGGGTTCGAGTAAC